AAGGTGATTTTATCATTTTAGTTTATCTGAGATTTGTGTAGATTCTAGTCTCTAATTTTTGTAAAAGTTTGGGCCTCCAGGCCTCTTTTTTTTTTTTTTTTTTTGTTTCACAGCTAATTGCTGATTCTTCTTGTACGCTTTCAAACAATTCTATTAAGCCTAAATTCTATTAACCATGATAATTACCAAACCAAATAAGCCTAAATTCTATTAACCATGGAATACAATATCATAACCAAACCATCCAAACTAATACAAAAACTAAATTAACCAAACTAAAGTTTAATCGGTTAACCAAAATAACCAATATATCATTACATTATCATTAAGTGAGAAAATTTCCATCAATTTGCAATTTATATAAGGAATAACACATAACAATCTACATAAAATTATAGTTAATCCTTAACATAAATACATGTAACTAATACAATTATCTTACATCTGACTCTTGAGTGGTTATGCAAAGTATTAAGTATATATATATAATATATTAGATATATAGCTAATTACTTAACTGGCTAATTTGGTTTGATCGGTTAGGAGTGTCTGAAACTAAACCAAACCACTTAAACCAAACAAGTTAAAAAATTTAACCAAACCAAATCTATTATCCAAATTAACCAAACCAAAATATCCAAATAGTACCTATTAAAATGGTTACCACGGTAACCACACCATTTGAACACCCCTAACGTTTCCTCCTCCTCCCTCAGATTTAGCCATACCCAGCGCCACTATATCCTAATCCATGTTGATCTCGTCTACGATACCCCAGCATTCATCGTCGGATTCATCTTCTCATCTTAGAAGTTGACTATGTCTAGCGAGAGGAAGAACAACGGCGTGGAGGAGATTTGGTCATGGTCTGCCGGTGATAGCAGAGTCACCAGCGTGGGGTAGATGATTAGCTTAGTAAAAGTAGTAGAAGTAATGTATTCTTTATGTATTGGTTGTATTTATATTTTTTTATGAGTAAAGTATCCATGTATTTTAAAAATAAGTGTAATATAAAGTTATTAATAGAATTTGAATTGTCATTCTCTCTTTATAAAACTAATTGGTGTGGGCCCTCTTTATTTTCCAGGAAACAAATTTTTCACATAGAAAGTAAAATTAAAATTGAAGCAAAATTATGAAAGTTGACTTAGAAGCAAAATTATTTGCTTCCAAACCAAATATTCATGTTTACGTAAGGTCTTCTAGAAACCAATATAATTATCTCCAAATCTAGTAATAGGAACAAAAACAGTTCACTCTAAAACCAATAAAAATATAAAATATAGTGTTTTAAAGTGGAATTACCATAAAAAGATTTGACTCACATTCCTCAATTAGAAACAAATATTATTTGCATCTATATTTGCTTATAAAAAGAATTAGAGATAGAGGCGTCCATTGCAAATAAATTATTTGTTCAAAAGATATACAGAAACAAATAAATGGTTTTTAGCTGCAAATAATCTCTGCCTCTAAAGCCATACTTTCTTGTAGTGTTTGTTGCCCTTCTTTTTCAATTCATGAGATACATGAACTGAAAAGGTGAACTCTCCACTGCTTGCACCCGTTTGTTAAAAAAATGCAACTGAAAGGAGTTAATTGAAAAGGTATTGATCAGTAATGGATTAGCAAAGTAGGTGGTCATTTGCCAGTTGCCACCTTCTATTCGAAAACTACACCAAGTGTTGTCATTATCTCTAATAAATTTCAATTGTGGAATAGGACAACCCAAAGTAGCTATCTACCATAAAACAAGAGCGAAAACAATGGGGAACACACGATATTTTGGCTGAGTAGCATTTGCTACCCGCACACGCCCCACCATGGTTTCTTCAGTGAAAAGGTGACCTGGAAAACCGACAAGAGCGTGCAAATTTTAGTATAAAAAACTAAAAATAAACCCACAAAAGCCAGAACACCCACTCGTCACTTTTGTCTGTCCCCTTCTTCCTCTTTTCTAGACTTTCCAGACATGTTTGGATAACAAATGGTTGAGGAAAAATAGAAAAACTCACCTTTACCGTCGGAGAGAACACAGGAGAATCAGAGCTTCGATTTAGGGATTCGTTAATGTCTTAAATAGGGGAAAACCTACAACGACGTGAGATGAAGAATAAGAAGGGAGACGAGTTTGAACCAGGAAGTGAGAGAAAGGAGTTAAAGAGGATGACGTGGCTGGCTCCATCCCTCCCTAGTTGCCAGTGAACTATCGAACAAAGAGGAAGAGGAAGAGGAAGAAAGTGGGGAGGAAGGAGTCACGATCGACAATGGCAAATTATGTGGATCCGCTTTACATTTTAGGGTTTTAATTTGAGTGTCAGTTATTGGTTCAGGTATGGTTAAAGGGTTAGGTTGGGTTGGACAAGATGACATGGCGGGTCTCACTGACGTGGCGGGTCGGTTTTCAACATTTTCTGGTTAAATAAAGCTGACTAGTCGATTACGTCTGCCACATCAGCACATAATTAACGAGCTCAATTAATGGAGATGAACGACCACTAATGGGAGAGTGACCAAATATGACATGTTTTACTAAATGACATGAACAACCATGCAATTTACCCTAAATGACAATTTCTATAAAGGTTGGTATTTGTAGTGATATTAGATCTTTCATTTTTGATGAAGATTGATTATGTATATATTCTAGGAAGCAACTCTAATATTGTCATTTATGGACTGTTTATATAGGCAACACTTTGTTTGTAAGCATATATGTCACTATTAGCTGTATTTCTTCTTTTCCCCCACTTTCTCATGTTTTGTAATACGTTCTAAGCATATTCAAAGTAATTTGAGTATTTGTCTAGATAGTTTACTGCAAATGACACGTACAAATTATTAGGGGTGGGCAACGGGTACCCAATCTCATTTGAAGAGGATACTACATCCCATGTTCTAAACCCGTACGGTTAACGAATACCCATTACCCATACGGGATGGATAACGGGTACCCACGAGTAACCCATAAATATCTAAAATGACAAATTGTAGTTTTTGCAAAAGGATTCAATATTCATCAAAAGATTCAATAATAAACAATTCCCCATCTACTTTTGATACTTAAAAATAGTAGTTTTTTTTACTAAAGCTAACATTAATCTAGCTAGCCATAGGATTCATACATTCACGATGATTAATTTGATGATGAATCTGAAGTGCTGCCGCCACCAGCAAGAAGTCAGAAGTGAAATCTCAGAGTTATAAACGCCTAATCGACCTCAGTGTAAATAGAGCCTGCTCTTTCCCATGTTGCATATAAAACAGTACAAGGATTGAGATTTGAGAGAATTAATACAAACATTCATATTGCATATAAATAGTTCCACCGCTACATACAAAATAGGGCCTTCTCTTTTCTTATAGTTCGATAGTTAATATAGACATTTAGACAAATACAAGGTTGTCAAACCGGTTTATGCCAGTGTGTCGGTTTAACAAGTGGAATGGTTCGACCGGTGGTACATATCGGTTTGTGCCGGTTCATGTCGGTTAATATTACAAATAATTTACAAATACTCATATTTAAACACGACATTTAACGTCAACACCTGAATATTTGTACTTGAATCCAACAAATAACAGCAACATTTAACTTTTTAACGCATAAAATAAATAATAAATTACTTTTTATCAATTAAATTCACTAAGATATGATCATTTTACTTGGAGATTCGTATATCGATCATGCCGATCATACCGGTAGCGTCATGCCGGTTTTATGACCGATACAGGTTGAACTAGGTTCAACCAGTGACACGCCTGCCGGCGTGACAACCATGGACAAATCTTAAATCCCACCTCAATCCAGAAGCACCCCTACAAACAGTTCCTACTAACACTTCAGCTAATCACCCCTAATATTCTAGATAAGTTCATCTCAACTAATTCAATCTAATCATGAAATGGGCATTACGAGTACCCATATTACCCAAACGGGTATTAACGGACTACCCGCGAGTACCTATTATACAAATTTCCCATCCCGTTTTTAAAAAAAGGGCATTTGAATACCCATAATTCTAAAAAGACAAAAGGGATATGAGTAGACCCAAATATCGGTTTCTCGTTGCCCACCCTACAAATTATATAACCATCGCCAACGTGCCGGACGTTGTGCTAGTATAATAATAGTACAGCTCAAGTCAAAAGCATATGCTTCATTCATAGGGAAAGACGTCACCCAAGAGCCAAGCCAGCCCAACTCCGTAACTTCCAAAGCACGACGCTTGTTTCTTTTCTCCACATGCAACATGATAAAGAGAGAACCCCTTCGAAGCTGGCTTTAATTTGGAGCAAAGGAACTGCCTGCCTTCTTCTTTCATCTCCATCATATAACCCCTTCCATAACTGTAAGCTGAGAAGAAGCTGCCACAGAAGCCAGCCATGGCCTCTTCTCCATCTCCACCTCCTCCTCCCCCTCAAATAAGGACTCCACAATCCATCGTCAAGCTTAGCCCCCGGTACGACGGGAGCATCATCTACGACTCGTATGAACTCAGAGCCATGACGTGTCAGGTCAATAGGGCCCTACAAGGGCTCAAGTGGTCGTCACCTTACCCAGCCTACGTGGCCGACAAAGGCTGCATCGTCGGTCCAGGAGCTGCCTGCAGGGAGTACATAGGCAGGTTATGGAAGAAGGCTACCAAAATGTTGCTCTTCAGGAATCTGCAGGGAAACAAGAGCCGATCATTTGCTTCCAACGAACCACTCCCGTAAACTGTGCTTCGATGTCGACAAAGGTTTCCGGTACTTGCATAGCGTGTAAAATAGGGGGGAGAGAGAAAGAGAGAGATTGCATCAACTTCTCATAAACCATATCAAGACTGAACCGATGTGTTAGTTTGTACAGTATTGGGAATATAGCAAACCATTCTGTGGAGAACTATATATGCAAAATTCCCCTTCCTTTTCAACTTCATTGTGGGAATCGCTTTTCCTATAAATCACACAAAGCTGCAGTCTTAAAACAGAAGACAGGTGGCTCCTGAAGACACACCTCAACATAGCCTGAGAGCCATCTCATGAAGAAGAGCTCGCTTCTGTGAAGCATTGATAACATGGTCAGTTTCAGCATTCTCAAGCACATCGGCAATTATGGCCGCTGCATGTCCAAGTGGTTCTTCTGCTGCTCTTCTCAACATGAAGGCCTGCCTCATCAAAACGAATGGTCAGTTCTACTGGTGGTCGATTCATTACATGTAACGCATCCACTAAGTTGTCTGCTATGGAACTATATGTAGTAACTGCAAGAATGAATCTCAGCCCATCGCCGCACGACTCTACCATAATCTAGATAAAATAAAGTTCCCATGAGAGAGAGAGAGAGAGAGAGTTACCTGGCCATGATGGGATACAATCAACGTACATGGTTGCTGTAGCCATGGCTCCCCGTCTATTTGCACAGGCAGAGGAGCAAACAACTGTATCTTAATCAACTGCCCTTGTGCAAGTCTGCGTGCACGTGAAAGCCCAACCTGAGATGTACAAGATCAATCCAATTTTACCATAAGCTATCTGGGAAAATGAAAATGCAAATACAGCAAGTCTATATTGCACCACTGCTATGTCAACGACGAGTGCTATTACAAAGAATTTTAAACATCATCGTAGTTCACCTGAAGTTTTCCTAAGTGCCACGTTCCAGAAATGCTAACAACTTCGAGTAACTTATCATGCATAGATTGTGGATCAAAACTATCATAAGATTCATCCTCATTTTGCCATAGGTCTACACCACCCATGTAACTTCCTATGTTTGCAACGAGTACACCTTCTGCATCCTGCAAGGTCATAAGAGAAAGTATAGCCTACCACACAGTGACTAATGTTGATATGCACATTCAACACAGAATCAATTCTAAGATACCTATTAATACTATCCATCATTACGAACTTCCCTGGGATTACATGTGAAAGCCTCACAGATACATCCACGATGTACCAAATTTATACAGACAATAAAAGGCTAATCTCGTGAAACTTGCTAGAAAAGGAAAAGTAAATATGAAATGCTTTGTATTAGATGTCCCGTACCAAGTGATGGCAATGGGTAGGGCGGATACATCAATATCCATACCCGCCTCGCATCAAGTGTGAGTCAGGTCGGGTAATACCAACGCGGGTACGGGTTAGCACAGGTCGACCCATTCTTATATATTCATTTGAAGAAAACATTTATTTTTAACAATAAAACAAAGGAAAAATAGTTCATAAATGAAAATAGAGATAATAGGTAGATTAAACAAGTCTAACTAGCTGAAAATTGAAGTCCTGCACTTACTTAAAGTATCAATGGATGAAAGTATTATTTAAGATAAGTCAAATTAGGAAAAATAAAAATAGATATTGAGACAAACCAAGGTAGAACGGGGCGGAACGAGGCAGGGTGAAAGCAATACATGCCTCCGCACCCACACTACTGTGGGTCAGGAATTGCCCACCCCACCCCACCCCAGCACAAGTCAAGTCGGGTAATACCTGGCAGGGCGGGTACAAATTACCATCCCTACCCATACCATACAGATTACTTACTTTTCTACTGTTTAGCAACTAATTATTGAGAGAAACAAAATTAATTATTTGAAGCATTTTCTCATTGAAAAGGAAAAAAAATCTTATATGAACGTTCAGAATCGATTGCATCCCTCCCGCTTCTTGCCATATATTCTGAATGAAAATACAGGGACAAACCAAACCAGAACAAAAATTCACATGTGAACGAGAATTTTGAACAACAGTACTAACCTCTGGGACCTCTATCTCAACCCCATCAACTTCCACCCTGACTTGCCATGGGAAATCAGCAAATGTACGGTCCATCATATTCTTTGCACCTTCTCTTGCATAAAGAACTTTGTTCATAAACTGAAACAAACATGTCCGTATTCCAGCCAAGATGAGTTATACATTAGGCTGTGAAATCAAAATATGATGTAAAGCACAAAAACCCAAGGCCTCATCATCTATCCAGCTAAACCATCTCACTTGCCAAATTCATCAAGGAAAAAAAATCCTAGGATACTATCTCTTGACAAAAATGCTCCTACAGTTAAAACGCCTAGCTAATTTGAATAGTTTTTAAGTCTAGTTTGCTTATCTAGGGTAACACAAGCATCCTCCTCCCTGGTTCCGGTGATGTTACTTCCATCATTTAAAGCACAGCTTATATTAATGCGAACAGTCTGTACCTGGTTATAGAACTTCTCAGGGTTTTCCTCCCTCAAATTGTGGATTTCAAGAGCAACCTTGGCGTCACACCCGACACCTACAAACAAATGCTAGAAATAGTAAGCCAACACAATTAAGCAAACCATAACATTGTTCTGATTAGCTTAGTTGAAGAACCATCAAAAAGCAAAACTAGACCACACATTGAATCTAAAATCACAGAGGCATTCACTTGCCAAGATAGTTGTTCATAAATTTTGGTGATTGGAGCTGTTTCCCTTGATTGTTGATAATCCCCACCTGCCACCTATCGAGGACAGTAACAGCAGCATGCTCAATGTCATGCATTAAAGTGCAGAGACCTCCTTGTCTTTCCAGTGCCCCCAAACCACCTCCCCATGACAGTACTCTGGCCAGATCATTTCCAGTTCCAGCAGGCAGAATAGATACAGGAGGTGGAGAGACAAAATTTTGCTTGTCAATAGCATCAAGAACCCAGCCCACAGTGCCATCTCCACCACAAACAAGAATTCTAAAGTGAGGCACCTTCCTGAAAAGATAAAGTCCTACTTCCGGACCCTGTACTGAACTCAACTCAAAGACCTGTAAGACAGTGACGGAGCAACAAAATAAGCTTAAGTCACCTTGAATAGAATGGGGGCAATGTAATCCAGCAGAAAAGTTACAGCTTGAGTAATCAATATGATTAAACAAATAATAAATATACAATTTTTAAGCCATGTTTCTAGTGAACTAAAATTAAGATTTCCAAATTAGCAACTTCAAACATATATTAGTAAGCATAAAACCAGAGATACTGAAGCATTTGAGTACTAAGTAGATTAGGGAACAACATACACCTTCCATAACTATTTGTAATCATGACCGGTACCACACAACATCATTTAGTAATAAATTTAATTTTATGTACTATGTCTCTGTTTATCAACATTTTCTTTATGCAATCAAATAAAACATAGGAAATATTGAACCTCAGCAGTGCCATTAGTCAAAGTAAAGATAATGTTCAAATATCCCACATGATCCGAACCAACAAAATTTGCACCGAAGTTAAATGGAATTTCTGGAGTCATCTCCTTCCCCATTCCCCTCCCCTGGTATCCCATACTCTTTAGGATATGAGTTAAGATGATGTGGCAGCCAGTGCATAATTGCTTGATTAAGAAAATATCTACAACAAAGTGAAGACCATCGAAAAGTAAAGAGCATGGTTAAATAGATCAACCTGAACAGGATTTAGAAGCAAGTTCAGGCGTTGCTTTAGGGAATCTCCACGCCGAGCACCACTCTTCTTGTTAATGAAAACGAGGAGGGGTCTCGCATCAGATGGCAAATCAATTATCTCGTATCTCTGCTTCATACCTAGTACATGTGATTCATCCCTTTGATTCAGTGAGCCGCTCCTTTTAAAACTAGGTTTTGATTCCAACTTATTATCCACATTCGCACTATCACGATAAGGACTCCCCATATTAAGACTACCAGCACAGTTTTCCTCACCACCATTGCAAGAATTTGCACAAGGATGGGTCTCAGCTGTGGTTTCAGTGGACGGATCACCAATACTACCACTGTTGCCCGAGTCGATGGAGTTTTCACTCCCATGTTTGTACTTCTTGCTTTGAATCCTAATACTTGCACGCACAGAAGAAGCAATTTCATTTGCTCCATGAGTGATTGAACTCAAAAACCCACCTGGAACATTCCGGTGAAGTTCCTGCACGTACAGTGGTGATAAAATCAACCTTCTATAAGGACCTAAATCACAAATATCGCCGGTTTCACTGGACATACTACTGTGGCAATCAACATGAACAAGTCGTTGACACCAAAAGCAACACCATATGGGTGATCCGCCAAGAAAAGATCCACTACATGGCTCCTCACAATAACTGCAGAAGGATGTTTCATCAGGTTGATCTGTTATCTCAGTCCACCGAACAGCCCATTGATGCATTACACTATCACATCCGACCATAGAAACACATTTGCAGTCCTTGGGTGCATTATTAGAGCATCCAAGGTGAGCTGCTGCACCACATATACTGCAACAATGGATAAAACTATCTGACGCCACCATAGGGCCAAGAGTCTGAGAAGGAGTCATGGATTTTAAACAAACACAACAATTCAGATTCTTTCCACGAGACACGGACTCAAGCACCCATGTATGCGGTGCAGCAGGAACCTTGTGCCTCGTCTTTGGATTTTTCTTCGACCTGGCTATAGCCTTCATCCAACTTAGATTGATATTCCTTCTCCATTGGAAAGCCGTGTAAGCTATGGTCAGAATTCCAATCACAGCAGCAAGAAAGCAGGATACCATGAAAACATAGGATTCAGTTGGATTCTTGCTGTTCCAACCAGGGAGGGGCATCCCAATTTCTGTGTCGTCGTCCATTCTTAATGCATTAAGAATTCAGGCTGTCAATAGCTATAGAGAGACCAGCAAAATACACCATAAAGCAGTCCATGAATTGAGCATAAAAAGCAGATCACCACGAAAAGAACCCCTAGCCAGCTCAAAGGTTCACTAGTCACCAAAATCGATCAGGGGGGAAAACTATCACAAACTCAAGTGATCAGACTGGAAAACCGTCCCCGGTAAATAAACGAAGCAATGAACAAATGATCGATCCAGGGCTCACTGGAGCCCGAAATTCACCAAAAGAAAGAAGCTGGTTGCAGAGCAGAAGCAGCAAGCGGAAGACGGTAAAACGAACCTGTCAAACATGGCAAGAGTGCGAATTTAGATAAACGGCAAGGACAAATTGAACGATTCACACTGGTCTATAAACAAGTAAAGCAGAGCAGTACATTTAGGAACGAGACTCCATTGGAACAAACAAAAGCGAAATTCCTACGCCGGATAGAATGCCATTGGTTCGAACAGCAGAGGTGGGGGACTTACAGTAGCAATGTTAGGTCAAGCGCGAGAGAGAGCGATCGAGGAAGAGGAAAGTAGAGAAGACGAACCCTGGCCTAGCGTAGAGAGATTGAATGATTGCCGAGAAAGAGATACTTGCAAAGTTTTGATTCGAAATCGAGTATGTAAGCAAAAGGCAAAAGCAAAACCCTGACCACCGTTTCAAAATTATTTTATTATAGAAATTTTTTTCATCTTCTCTTATATTATTCAAACATGTTAAAATGATTTTTTTTTAATTATGTTAAAATGCTATTAATTCCTCAAATATTTCATAGGCATAATTAGGATGACGACCTCTTTTAGAGTGATGGTGCACTCTCCTTCGCGAAAGTTCAAGCAATGTGTCTCTTTTCGTCATCTCTCCACCAATGCAGTGATGAGCTGACGATCGATTTTTATGCCCGAAAAATACCTAATCGACTCCAACCGTGCATTTTTGAGAAAGGGCAAGATAATGTCGTTCCATGGGAGCACATTGATCGTAACCCTGTAGTGGTGTATTTGGTATGCCTCCTAGAGAAAAATTTAACTTTATTTATGATATACTAACAATAGTTTTTTTATAACTAAATTAATTAAAATAAATGAATTAAGTTTGACCATAATTATATTATAATTATATTATTAACAAACAAATTAAAATAATTCAAGGTTTTTTCCAAGATATATTCATAATTTCATAAAGTAAACATACTTAATTAATTAAATTAAATAACATTTTAAATGAATACTAATTTAAAGAGATACATATTCAAATATTTGAAATTAATAAAATTATAATTGTACACACACATAAATCGTATTGGTTGTTTTAAATAATTTAATCGTATTGGTTGTTTTAAATAATTTAACCGAATACAATGCAACACTAGTAAGACTCTTAGAAGAGGTATACATCTTCTTAGAAACACAGCCTTTTTGACAGAAAAAGGGGGGATCCGAGGATCGCTCAAAACCCAATTTTTTTAGGGAATGGGAGGATCATGATAATCGCTTAAAATCTCATTTCCTTAGGCATGCATCTCTTTATAAAGAGTCTAAGTAAGTGGTGCTATGTATTAGATTAAATTATTGAAAACAACCAATACGATTAAAAATTATCAAATTTATTTTATATTCCACTAAGTACGTTAACAAATTAAAAGAAAGAGAAATGATGAAGAATTGTATGTACCTCGTGATCGTTCCAAACATCCCTTGAATGATGGTTGGGTTGGTCGTACAACACGGTTGGATCACTAGCCCCTTGATCAACATAATACCGTTGGTTGTATATATCTACGTCGTCCCCAACCTACGAGAGAATAACAACAACATTAGTACATAGATTAATTGAAAAGGTCATAACAACAACATTGGTAAATGAGTACGTACCACTTGAAATTCATCATAATAAATTCCCTCTTCTTGGAACCACTTGTCCATTTTTTCGCGAAAGTCGGACAAAGATTTGGCTGGTTTTAAAGGAAAAGCCAAAGAAATGTTTTCTGATGGCAGATCGGACTTAGCCGCAACCAATAGACCACTATTTCCGAGGCTTTTGGGAGGGGAGGGGATGGATAGAGAGATAATTTTAGAGAGAGAGAAGAATGGGTTATGGTGTGAAAAAATGAGGAGGGGGAGAGGGTATTTATACTTTTCAGACCGCACCCTCCAGGGGCGGTCTTGTAATTTTGCCGATTCCAAAACCGCACCAGGAGGGCGCGGTTCACGGTGTCCGAGGCGCTGACCGTTCCCCAGGCGCGCTGTTTTCGATCCCTGAAGCGGATCGCTGCGCTGGCGCGCGGTTAGCCGTTGGATCGCCGCCTCATCCAACGGTGCTGGGGACCGCCGTCTCGGGAACATGGACCGCACGCTGAGAGTGCTGTTTTCGGGCTGCCCTAGCGTGGACCGCTCCCCCGTTGTGCGGTTTGCACATAAAACGCACCTGGAAGGTGTGGTTTAGGATGAAAGGTGCTATTTTTGGAATTTGTGTGGGTTGGGTGTTATTTTTGTAATTTTTTTTAAGGTGCTATTTTTGGAAAAATCCCTACTTCTTAGTGCCTAAACTTGTGAAAAATTACATTTTAGTATATATAACTTTTAGGGTGTGCCTATGGTGACATGCATGTCACGGTGACTTGCACTTTCCGGTCGACCTCAGTTAGGATTAGGTCGACCTCAGTTAGAATTCGGTCGACCTCATATAGGATCCGGTCGACCTCATTTAGGTTTCGGTCGACCTCATATAGGATCCGGTCGACCTAATATGCTGTTTCAGTGTAAAAACAGTTCATGGTGCCTACTTTGGATATTCATATCATACAATTGGCTAGATGGAAATTAAAGACTAATGACTTGTTTTGAAGCTGGAGTGTCCCTCTACATATTGAAGTGATTGAGAGCTCGATAGGAAGTCCAGAAGACCATTTTTGAACCTCATCAAAAGGCTATGCCAAAACTGAGAAACTGCCTAGAAATGGCTAAGTCTTGAAACGTGTTTGTGAAGCCTATTTTTGAGCTCAATTCGAGAAGCATGAATGCGAGTCGAGGAGCCTCTACCACGTTAAATTAGGTATGTTTTTATACAAATTCAAGGAATTGGATGAAAGATTGGATATATTTAAGGCTTCAAACAAAAGGGTCGAAGTTGCTACGAAGGCTGTTTTTCTGGCAGACTTCGAGCACAAGCAAGCTGCCAGAAAAACAGCCTTCGTAGCAACTTCGAGCCTTTTGTTTGAAGCCTTAAAGATATTCAATCTTTCATTCAATGTCTTGCCTTTGTATAAAAAAATACGTAATTTAACGTGGTAGAGGCCCCTGGACTTGACTCGCATCCATGCTTCTCAAATTGAGCTCCAAAGTAGGCTTGACAAACACGTTGCCAGACTTAGCCATTTTCAGGCAGTTTCCCAGTTTTGGCATAGCCTTTTGGTCAGGTTCAAAAATGGTCTTCTGGACTTTCTATTGAGCTCCCAAGTACTCTAATGTGTAGAGGGACACTTCAGCTTCAAAACCAGCCTTTAATCTCCAATTTCCATTTAGTCAATCGTAAGATATGAATCTCCAAAGTAGGCACCATGAAACTGTTTTTACACTGAAACAACTGATTAGGTCGACCGGATCCTATATGAGGTCGACCGAAAAGTGCATGTCACCGTGACATGCATGTCACCGTAGCAAAGTCCTAACTTTTATAGTTACATCTTGATACCTAATATTTAATTTTATTATAAAAATTATTCTTACAAATTTAAGTTTTGGTATCTAAGAATTTTTATTATAACATTTTAGTACCTAAACTTTTTAAAATTTACATATTGGTCCAATATTTAGATGTATCCATGAATCAAATTCACTAATCCATGAATCCACCACTCTATGAATTCATCAATTCTTTTTGTTCTATATCCATGAATCTAGTATATTTACCACCTCTCGAATTGCACATATTTTTAAATTTCCATAGCTCCCGTAAAAAAAAAAAAAATTCATAGCTAAACGACGGCTCTAGATAGGATGCATAACCCTTGGTTATGCACTCTTGCATAATCTAGCTAAACATGATCTAGTTTTGCAAAGGTGCATAACCAAATGATTCGGGCCTAATTGCACATGTTTTGCCCTCGTTTTACCTAGATGTTTATGCCAAATTCGCTCATTAAAGGTTGGTTTTACGCTAGGTTCTTCGTGTTTGAGTGTGTTTCAGGATTTAACAGGTGAAACCAGCCTCGAAGTCGAAAGATTGGCGAAAAGGATCGAAAATCGGGAAAAGATGTCAAAAAGAGCCAGTTCACGGCTAACTGAAGGAGTTCACGGTCATGCAAGACCGTGAAGAAGAGGAGTTGACCGTGAATCGCGAGGCGTCCAGGGCCAATGTGAAGGTTACTGACGCGAGGTGAGTTCACGGTCACTAAGATCGTGAACAAGGCAGTTGACCGTGAATAGACGTGGCAATGCGGAGCGTTTTGGCGCACGCTTTGAGTTCACAGCCGTGAATTCAGCTCTTCTCGGGTTTAAAAGTTGAGCTGAAAAAAGGAGAGAGGGGAGAGCCCACTTTTGTGAGAAACACCTTCTTCAACATTCTAGTGAGAGAAACATAACCAAAGGGAAGAAGAAGGTTAGGGTTTGGCTTCAAGGCAGATTTTGGGAAGATTTCCCCATGGAAAGCTCAACTCAAGGGTCAAGAAGAGAGGAGGCATCCCCAAAGATGGATTCCACCTTTTTCCCTTTTATTCTTCCCACTTCTAGCATGGAGTAGACCTCCTTTCACTTGGGTGTAGTGAAACCCTAACTCTACCATGTAGTTTTCTTGTATGTGTTTTGGATGATTGTCATTGGGTATTGTTCAATTCAATGATTGAGCCATTATTCACCATGATTGTGCATGCTTTTGCTTAGCAACTTAGGGGTTGTGTATGTTTTGTGCTTAGCATCCTTAGGTTTGTGCATTTAGGTGCTTAGCAACCTAGGGATTATGCATAATTGTGCTTAGCACCCTTAAGTTTGTGCATTTAGGTGCTAGTAATATAATTTGCCACCTTAGCCTAGTTTAGAGAGGAGAATCCCCCTTTTAAAGGAGACTCAATCGAGTTGGTTTTCCTTCCGCTTTCTAAGCCACCTAAACTAGGTTGAGTTAGGGCAACCCTCAATATTGAGTTAAACAAGTCGATTAATCATGATTAATGTTACACCCTGATCTTGCCAAAAGTCAAAATGACTATCCTACCCTCGGGGAAATTTCTCAAATTTCATCGTAATATCGATGAGGACTAAAAATGCGATCCCTCGGCTCAAACGATGTCGAGTTTCGACATAAAATGAGGAAGTTATGGACATTCACCGAGTTTCAGATTAAACTCACTCACTCGATACCAACTAATCGGAAAATTCCCAAAACACCCCATGGGTTTATTCTAAATTTCCCTCTCGACTTCTTTTACCACAGAGCATAAAATCAACCTAAACCCTAAACTGCTAGCGGAAGTCACCCAAAACCGCAGCAAACCCTATCTCCATTGCAACCCCACATCTCCTCAGTCGAGGACCTGGTCGAACCCCCCCCCCCCCCCCCCCCGCTTCGAAGCGGCTCTC